AAACAGGAAGATTCAATCATTGGGCAACACCGCTCAGATGTTCACACACACACACACACACACACACACACACACACACACACACACACACACACACACACAGGAACAAGGCGCTTACCTGAGAGCTGGACTCAACGTTGCTGAGGAATTGTGTGTACAAGTCGCCAAGATATGCTGCAGACTCTGCGGGGATCAGTTCCGAAAACTGTGCCGTCACCGTGCTCCAACTACAGCAAACATAAGACAGCGTCATGCAAGATGCATCAGCGCCAATGATCAGTGCATGTACACATAGCACGAACACATACTGCAACTGCACACACACATGCACACTAAAGCGTTTGCAACACAAAACCCACACACAAAACACACACACACACACAAGCACACACAAGCACACACAAGCACACACAAACACAACTCCCATCCACTCCCCTTCACTTCACTCCACTCCCCATCCCATCCCACTCCACACCGCACCTTGCTGCTTCGATGGTCTTGCTTAGAGCGTGGTTGAACGCCTTCACAAACGCCTGCGCCCTGTGCCTGTGCTCGCTGCCACCGCTGCCGTGCTTCCCTGCTTCCTCTGCCATCTTCGCTGCTGCTCAACGGCCAACTGTTTTGCAAATTGCGCTCACGCCCCGTGTTGCAAATTGCACCACAACTCATCAACAGGCAGAAGAAGAAGACAACCACAAACCACAACACCAGCCAACCACCACAACGCCCAGCTACCGTGTCACTGTATCTGGAACGCGGCTGTTCCCCCCTCGCTCGCTCGCTTTGACCCACTGCGACCGCTTGTGTGTTGTTGCAACAACACCAGCTTGTGTCTGTCCCTGTGTATGTGTGTGTGTGCGTGCACAACACCAGAAAACAAGCGACCGAACGTGAGGTGTCGCCATGTCCATGAACCACAACGTGAAGATCGGGTGTGTCTTGCCCGACACCCCAAACGCCATGCCCAAGCTGCTGGAGGTGCAAAGGGGACAAACGCTGCAGGAAATCGTGCACGCGCTGTGCCAGCACTTCAAGGTGGACGACGAAGCGCACTTCTCGCTGCGTATCGTCGAGACCAACCAGTATGTCACCCCGGAGAACTGCAACGAGGTCCTCAAGGACGGCATTGTGTTGCAGCTGGCCATGACCGCGCAGGGCCTCACCGCCCAGCTACTCAGGCAAATGCGCTCAAGCAACCCTTCCGAGAAGGAGCAAGCCATCAAGAACATCAAGAAGGAAACCCACGACAAGACCGTGGCCAAGGAATTTGTTACCCAAGGCGGTACGCCTGTGTGTGTGAGTGTGTTTGCTTGTGAGTGTATGTTTGCTTGTGTGAGTGTGTGTGTGTGCTTGTGTGAGTGTGTGTTTGTGGGCTTGCTTATTTGTGCGTACATGTGAGTGTTTGCGCTTGTTTATTATGTTGGTTGGTGATGTTCCTCTTCAGCCTCGAGCGCAGACGCACACTGGCCAGCAAACGCACCTCATGCGACTCTTCCTGACGCCTGGATCATGTGTGTGTGTGCGTGTGTGTGTGCGTGTCGCAGGCTTGCCGCTTGTGCTTGAAGCCGTGACCATGTTCAGGGGTGCAGGCCTTCACTCCCCTCTCGGCTACTCCCTGCAGGCGCTGGTGAACATTGTGCGCCACGACTTGGTCGATCTCCGCGACCTGCACAAGAAGAACCCAACCCTTCTCTCCGAGGTAACGTCGCCGACGCTGCTGTCGTTGGCGTCGATGGCACCAACACATCCGCACCCATCACCGCTTGCGTGCCGTTCTTCCCTGCTTGCGCTGCTCCCTCCAGTAACCTTTCTCAAAACATCACCGGCGCACTCATTACTCAACCCGTGGTTCGCTTTCGTGCTCGCGCGTACACCCGTGCTCATCTTCGTTGCTGCTCGTGCTCGCGTGCCACACCAGATGATTGCCGACACCAAAGCGGAGAGCGGGTTTGTCATCCACACGTCGCTGCAGCTCCTTGCCGCATATGAACTCCGCGTCCCGGAAGGTGCGCCCACCGCCACATTGGGGTGGCAAGGTGTATTTGGGGGTATCTTGCTGCTTCGTGTGTTCGTGTTGGGATCGTAGTGGGAATTGTGTTGGGCCTTGCTGCTCGCAGGCCTTTGGTGTCTATGTTGACATGCTCCTCACGGTTACTTCCCTTTCTGTCTGTCTGTCTGTCCGTCCGTCCATCCGTCCGTCCGTCTGTCTCTATGCCTCTCTGTCTGTCTCCAACTTCTCTCCCCACGCGCATCGCCAGCGCGAAGAGTGGTGGAGTCGATGATCAGCATCACCCGCATCATCGAGTTTATCAAGCAGTACGTACGAGCCGTGGGGGGGGGGGGTTGGCTGTGGTGTGTGGAGGAGACAAAGGAAATGGAGCCAGAAATGGATATTCGCTTTGTGCATGCTGCTCAATGTATGATATTGACGTCTTCAATGGCATTTGCCACCACTTCTCACCTACATCAAACCTTGGGCGCGCGCGCGCGCGCGTGTGTGTGTGTGTGTGTGTCTGCAGGTTCGACTTCCAGACGCAGGAGTCTGGTCTTGCACTGCTCAATGCGCTCATTCAAGCGCACGCCGGCGACCCCGCCCGCGAGAAGGAGGCAGAGGTGCAGGCAGAACACACCTGCTTGTGTTGCGCAATCGTGTGCTGCCACGTTCACGCTGGCACACCGTCCTTGCACACATGACAACGCACATTGACACACGAACATTTCCACACATGAACACGTTCACAACTATCGACACGTTCACACCACACACCACCACATCTCACCACACCACTGCCAGTCGCTGTTCCGGACATTGGAGGAGCGCAACGTGTTCCGCGCATTGGGATCACGCGATTTCTCCCAAAAGCCCGTCCCGCCCGAATATGCACACCAGCTCTGTGCGTGTACATACACACACGCACATGCATGCACACACACACACACAATGACATGCCTGCGTGCAGTCGATCATGCATTCACACGGCACATGCATGCCCACCCATACTTGCCTCCATGTGTGTGTGTGCAGATGTGTTCCAGAAGTTGTGGCTGCGTCGCCTCGTGCAGCGCTCGTACGCAGAATTTGACTGGGCCGACCAGGTGCGCACTGTGGTGATGGTCGTGTTGAGAAGTGATGAACGTGGGAGGTGATGAAGCTGAGGGAATGCACAACTCTCTTTCAACGCACTTGCGCTCATCAGTTCCCAATGTTGTATGTCTGTGTCTTTCTCTCTCTCTGTGTGTGTGTGTGTGTGTGTGTTTGTGTGTGTGTGTGTGTGTGTGTGTGTGTGTGTACAGGAGGCAAAGGCGAATTTGCAGGCACTCGTGCAGTGTCTTCCCACGCTCAGCGAAACAACAGGTCGGAAAAGTTAGCCACCAAACACACAGACACACACTACAAGCCCTGTTCATACAAACCCTTTGAGTTGAGCTTTAGCTTCATTTGACACCATCCTCGCCTGCGCTCACGTCACCACCGTTCGCATGCACGCGCACACGCACACGCACACGCACACGCACGCGCTCAAATGTGAGCAGACGGAACGGAGTGCTCTACAGATGTGGACAAATTTCGGCTGCTTGGTTTCCAGGTGCGGTGATCCAGGGAGGACGCATACACACGCACATCACATCACATCACATCACATCACATCACATCACGCACACGCACATCACACACACACACGCACATCACACACACACGCACATCACACACACACGCACATGCACACGCACATGCATTCGAACATGCTGCCTCAATTCATTCACAACAGGATATTCTCATCAATGCCCGTCTACACCACGCAACATTGCACCACATGCCACATCACATGCCACATCACACTACATGCCACATCACTCAAACCCGGCCCCTTCTTCCACGCCACTGCGGCAGGACCCGGCCAACCCGGAGACGGAGTTCAGGGAGGCGCCAGGGATGCTGACGCTCGATGCGCTCACGTATTGGGTTCGCAACAGCGAGGACGTAAGCAGACATGTGGCTGCACGCTTATTATCGTCGCGCTCGTGTTGTGTCGGTGTCGGTGTTTGTAGCGTCGGCAGTGCTGGTCATCGCCATCACTTCGTCTTTGTTGTTCTCCTCGCACCCTCATCACCGATGCACCCTCGTCCCTCTCAACACGCAATATACGTAACACCACCGCCACCGCCAGAGCTACACGAAGCTTGCTGCAGACCAGATCTCGCGGCCTGCGCTGTACACATGCCCGTTTGTCGGGATGGCAAAGTCAATGCTTGCTGTTCTCCTACAGGTCCTGCACGCCGAGGATGAATGTACGTCAGTGTGTGAATGTGTATGTGTGTGAATGTGTGTATGTGTGCGTGTGTGAATGTGAATGTGTGTGCGTGTGTGTGTGTGCGTGTGTGTGCGAGTATGTATTGTGTGTGTGTGTGTGTGTGTGTGTGTGTCAATGTGTCGAGCGCGTGTGTGACGCGTTCATCATCCCAACGTTTCTGTGCATCGTCGTGGCTGCCTTGCTGTCGCCACTGCAGTGACGAACGACGGCGTTGAGTATCTGCCCATCCTCTACTCCTCCCGAAATGCCTTCTTCGAGGTCAGCCCTTAAGCCGTACCTGCTCTCATGCGTACATCCAACCACCGCCACGCTGATTGTACCCTGCTGTCTCCCTCATACCACCGTGTTGTTCCTCCCCCCTATCTTACACATCTCCTCCTCTCCCTCATCGCCAACACCACTGCCGCTGCAGATGTTCCTGGCGTGCATGCAGCTTGGACTTCGCACATGGAAGGAGATGGAGGCAAAAGTCACCGACAAACCAAAGGTGTGTGTGTGTGAGTGTGTGTATGCGTGTATGCGCGTGCGCGTGTGTGCGTGGGTTGTTTGCTCTGTCCATGTGCCCCTTCTCATCTGCCCTTGTCTCTGTCCCCGCCATCCCTTCCCTCGACCTCCCCCCCCCCGTGCAGGTGCTGGCGATGGTGCGTAAGCAAATCCAGCGCGTGTTTGAGCTCCCGCGCACATCTGCACCGACAAACATGGACGACTTCAAGGTGAGCCGAAGCCGCGATGCTGTGGTGCAGAACTTGATGGTGGTGCATGGGGGATGTCATACGTGGTGTAGAGTGCATGGCCGTGTTGTGGATGGTGTGAGAGGTAGCGTGGTGGATAATGAGGGCTGGCGCTGCAAGAACAGCACCCGCTGCGTCCATCTGTCGCACTCATATGTTGTGTCCGTGTACATGTGTTAACCCCCCAACCCCACCCCCACCCACCAACAACAACAATGTGCGTCTGCGTACAGAACTGCATGCTGCAGCAGTCGTTCCAAGAGATGCTGGAGGAGCAGAAGAACGAAATCCTGACAGCGGAGGAGAAGTTGTTGCAGTCGGAAATTGTGTCCGGTCTCTACGATCGGTTAACGCGCGACATGACGGATCTCGTGTGCCAGCAGCGGCTCGCCCAGATGGTGCAGGGGGCGTGGTTCGGTGTTGTCGGCCGCGCAAAGAAGGCAAAAGGTGCGCACACAGTCACGGCCCGAGCGTCATGCATGCGTTGTGTGTATGCGTGTGTGCGTGTGTGCGTGTGTGCGTGTGTGCGTGTGTGTGTGTGTGTGTGTGTGTGTACATGTGTATGTGTGTATGTGTACATGAGGTTGTGGGGTTATGTGGTTGTGAGGGCGTGCATGCACCAGATTGCATGTGCTTGTGTGCGTCTGTTCATGGTGTAGCCACTGACGATATCACATAGCCTTCCTCCCCACCACCACCCTCACCTCCCATGACTTGTCTCACTGCGAGCAGCAAGTCGGTTCTACGTGATGCTGGCTCCAAACCACAAGACGCTCCACTGGGGCGACCCCGTTGACCGCGACGTTGCCAGCGTGCCCACACTTCACGACCTCCCACACAAATGTCAGTCGCAACAAGAGAAGGGGAGGGAGGTTCAGGGTTAATTGGAGCCAGGAGCGGGGTTGGCGGTTGTAATGCACAATTGTGCAATTCTGTTGTTGACGTGTACGTCGTGACATGCATGTATGGGTGTGATGCAGTTTCACTCGCATGCAAGTGTGCACGTGTGCATGTATGCCTGCGTTATCGCACTGCTCTCCCCTTCACCCGAAACTAATCCACGTTGCTGCCACCTGCTGCAGGCGACACCTCTGAGATCAAAGTCATCTATGTTGGCAGCGATGTACCGTCCATTGCTGGGAAGAAGAAGGTGATGGCGCGCAGTGTGCTGATGTCAGCGTGGCGTTCCATGTTGATCATGCACGAGCACTTGCATACAAACGCTGATTTTTTTTTTTCAGTCACACACATGCATTTGCACGCCCGCACACAAACCCATACAAACACATTCACGTACACGCACACACGCACACGCACACCGCATTGTGGTTGTCTCGCGCACACGTGTTCAGGTTGAGGATGTTGACAACGCGTTTGCGATTCTGGCGTCGGATATGGAGGAGGCGCTTGAGATGGTCGGCGCAAATGCAACCACGGTCAGTGCAGTGGAGCTGCAGTGCACATCAGCAAGTGATGGTGTTCCCCCTTGTAGTGCGGTGTTGATACTGCACACAGATCCAGCTTTGACTGGTTGCCTTCAACACGACCTTTGCCGTCAATACCAACACGAATACCAACATCAACAACAACAGAACGTCAACATCATGCTTACCACAACACCCAACACAATCACTTCCATCAGACTGCCGTGTGGTTGGATGGGATCCGTGCACTCGTTGGTCAGGACATGCAAGAGGCCTCATCCCTCTCCGAAATCAGACGCCTGGCAAAGTCCGTTGCATGCCGTGCGACACTGGCTTGCTCGCCACCAAATGTGTCTTCTTTGGAACCTCCTCCTACATCTTCTTGCCTTTTCTTGCCACTTCTCGCCTCCGCACACCCGTTATTCACCACACACGCATACACACACACACACACACACAACACACACACACACACACACACACACACACACAACACAACACAGGATTGAGCTTCGGCTGCACCTGCTCAACCTGCACGGGCTGGACATTCCAACGAGAGCGCCAGAGGTCCCGCCGCTTCCTGCTGACATGAACTTCCAATACACCGACATGGATGACGGCGTGTGCGCGTGAGGTGCAATTGCTTCGGGTTGTCGTCGTGGCGTCGTGGTGTGTTTGGTCTTTCCATTGCCGTGAGGTGGGTGTTCTTCTCGGGCGCATGCTCTTGCTGTTTGTTACGACACGAATACGTCCCTCTCGTTGTTGTTGTTGTTGTTGTTGTTGTTGTTGTTGTTGTTGCTGTTGTTGTTTTGCTCGTCAGGCGTTCTGTTTTCCTTTTGTTTGTTTGTTTGTTTGCTTGCTTGCTTGTTTGTTTTTCGCTTCTCCTGTCTGTTTACTCTGATGCCGCTTCATACAAAGTGTCTTCATCATGGCAGTGACTCGCTACTCTCCTCCGAATACAGATACACACAGTAATTCCCCAAAGCAAACCACAATTCACATGCACAAACAATACACACAAGCACAACACGCGCACATGGCTGCCGTCAGGGCGCAAAGCGATCTGGTGCGAGCATGTGCAGCTGAAAGCCTTGCTGCCATGCTGCTTGCACGTGTTCAGGCACCGCGCCACCAACAACAACTTCCCCGCCATCATCACCATCATGATGGTGCGTCATAGCCGACTGGCCCTGTGCACGGTCAGGGTCAACATCTGACACACCAGCGGCATCCCCGTTGTTGCCTGCAGGCAAGACTGCACCCTCCGCTGCCGCCATCACGGCGCGCGAACCGCCAATGCCTGTTGCCACGGGCGCGGCCTGCTGCTGCTGCTGGCTGCGTGCCCGCTGCTGTCTGCGCTGGTGCTGTCGCAGCTCCTGCTGCACCCGCCGCACCCCAGCATCGTCGTCCACGGCAAGACACGCCGTCACAAGCGCCTCGTAGTGCTCGTCTGTCAGCGCGTGTGCGTGTGTCTGTGCACGCGCGAGGGCCTGCTGTGCGCCGCTGATGTCGAGCTGGTCGCTGTATGCGCGGATGATGTGCAGATACGCGTCCCCGGACGGCGTCATGCCTGCGTCCTCCATGTCCCTCACCATGGTGTCTGCCCAGCGAACGGAGCCCGTAGCGGCCGCGACCACGGCCAGGTCGGAAATGATGGGCGCCGTGTCCTTCACCCCGCGGTCCGCTGCCCGCTCCATTAGCGCCAACGCCGACTCGACGTCGCGCGTGGTCCTGTACACGCGCATGAGCGACGCGTACCAGTGGTCCGGCACGCGCGCATCGGGGTTGCCGCCGTCGTGCTCGTCCTCCAGCGATTTGATGAGAAACTCCAGGCGCGATGCGTCGCCGGCGGCCTCGTAAGCACGCACAACATGATTGTACGTCTGCTTGGTGGGCTGCACGCCGAGGAAGAGGAGACGTGCGAGCACGCTCGTAACGGCCTCCGTGTCCGGCACCTCCGCATATGTGGCGATGAGGAGGTGGTTGATTTGCATCACCAGCCATTCCTGGTCTGGCGTCATGCTGCTGCTGCTGCTGTTGCTGGCGGGTGTGGGCGGTGCAGCCGTTGCATCATTCGACTCACTGGCATGCTCGGCGTTGTTGTTGTTGTTGTTGTTGTTGTTGTTGTTGTTGTTGTTGTTGTTGTTGTTGTTGTTGTTGTTGTTGTTGTTGTTGTTGTTGTTGTTGTTGTTGTTGTTGTTGTTGTTGTTGTTGTTGTTGTTGTTGTTGTTGTTGTTGTTGGTGGTGGTGGTGGTGGTGTCGTCGTCGTCATCAACATTCATTGCTTGTTGCATGTCACTCATGTGTTCGAGAGCAAACGTGACCACTTGCTGTGCCCCTGTCGTGTTGCCGGCCATCCTGAACCCCCACATCGCTGCCAGCAGACACGATGTTGGCGGGAGGCGACCCGTCGCATCCTGCATCTCCCGTGCCAGCGCGCGCCAGCTCCCGGGATCACTGCTGCACGCGCGAGCAATGAAGCGAGCAAGCCAGTGCTCGTCCGTCACAACAGCGCGCACCGACTGCTGGTCTTGCTTTGTCATCTTCCTCTTCTGCTGCGTTCTCCCGCTGCTCTTCTTCCTCTTTGTTTGCGCATGTTGAGTGGCGGCGCCTGTTTGCTTCATGCCCGCGCTGTCGCTGTCACCAGCACCAGCAACACTGCCGTCACTGCCAATGCTCCTCTTTCCTTCCTTCGCCTCTTCCTTCTGCTGTTCTTGTTCTTGTTCTTGTTCTTGTTGCTGCTGGGTCACCATGGCATTGAAGATGGCGTCTGCAGCCTCGACGTTCCCCTGCCACGCGTACACCATCATGTGCCAGAAGCGGGTGCGGCTGGACGGCAGCACGTGCGACGCCGCCATGGCTGCCAGGGTCGCCTCCACCTCATCCACGGCGCCGCGCTCGGCAAACGCGTGCAGCAGCGCATTCCACAGCTTGACGGTGGGCTGCGGGTGGCGGGCGACGCAGTCCTCAAACGCGCGCTGGGCAGAGCCAATGGCGCCGCACCTGCGGAACGCATCGACAAGCGACACGTAGAAGTTGGTGTCCAGAGGGTAACCCTGGCGGTCGGCGTGGAAGGCGATGGCGCGGATGGCAGCGAGCGATTCCGCCGTTGTTGGCAGCTCCCGCGGGCGCAGGAAGTGGCTTGCAGCGCTGCTGCTGGTGCTGGTGTTGGTGCTGGTGCTGTTGCTGTTGCTGGTGGTGGTGGCAGGTGTTTTGCGGTCATCGCTCGTCCTGCCTGTGTCTTTTCTTCCTACGTCGCCACCACGAGACGCATCAGCACCGCGATCAGCGGCGTGGCGGCGGCGGCGGCGGTGCTGAATGGCGCGAAGGCGACGAATTGCGGCTGCAGGCGACGACGGGTCGTGGACAACGATGGTGCTGTGCGCGTATGCATTGAGCAGCGCCTCGTAGTCCCGCAGCGTTGGCCGGATGCCAGCCTGCAGCATCGTGTCAAAGAGCCCTGTCGCCTCTGTGGGCCACCCGAGCCGCCCGTACAGCGCGAGCATGAGCCCGTATGTCTGCGGCGTCGCCGCGGGTGTTGATGGCTCTTGCAGGAGCTGTCTGAACGTGTCCTCGGCAAGAAGCACGTTGCCTGAACGCAGGCAGGCCGTGAGCACGGCGTTCCACATGTTGATGGTGGGGATGAGGTTGGCCTGGCGCGACTCCTGCAGCGCGGCCCAGCACTCCGTGTCCATGCCGCGCAGTGCATATGCGCGCACCAGTGCCTCGAAGCAGTCCGTGTTTGGTGCGACGGCATGCGCCTTGATCATTCTGTTTCTGAATGCGTGCACGCACAGCGCCTGGTATTCCCTTTGCTCTGCCATTTCTCGCAGCACGATGGCCCAGTGCTCGGCTGTTGGCGCGCCAGCTTCGTGTGCGGAGCCCTTGGCGTTGGGAGGGAGCTGGTTGCTGCGTGCTTGGTGCTGGTGTTTTGCGTGCAACTGCTCCAGCAAGGACAGGGCGCGCACGGGCCCACTCTGTGCCCGCTGTTTGCTGGAGGTGGTATTGCCGTGCTTCTTGCGGCGCGCAGGTGCACTGGCCAGCGCACGCAAGCGCTCGGCGAGCTTTACATTCACAGGTGCCCTGGCACCTTCCGTTATGTCTTCTGCTGGCTCACCCTGCGAGCTGCGCGCAGCATGTGTCAGCGTTCTGACACAGATCACCCGAGGGGATGCTGCTCTTTGAATTACAGCTGTGAGAGTTGCTGTTGCTGTTGCTGTTGGTGCTGCTCTCTGAACGGCTGCTGTGAAAGGTGACGCTATTGCTGTTGTTGCTGTTGTTGCTGCTGTTGCTGTTGTTGCTGTTGTAGCTGTTGATACCGCTCGCGCAGTTGTTAACGCTGCTGTTGCTGCTCTGAATAGCGCAGCACACCTGGGCGCAGCTGCTGTGTGCCATTCGTGTCTTATTCTCACATGACCATGAACACCACGATGACCACCTCCACTCAATAAACTGCCGCTCCTTTCACCACCACCACCACCACTACCGTTGCTGCCACTGTTACTGCTGTCAGCTATCTTGCCTAGCCTCCTCCTTCTCCTCTGCCCGCATCGCAACACCGCCTGTAGAAGCCGCTGCCGCTGTTGCTGCTGCCCACGCAAGCACGCCACCACCGCAGCACCCTCAAACACCCTCAGCATCATTCTCCTCCTCCTCACTCGCTCTTCTTGCAACGTGTTGTGTTTAGATGTATCTGTGTGTCGCCGTGTCGTCTCAAGCAGAAATTGCCGAGTCAGCACTGCAGCACGTGCAGAGTGGTACGGGCCCATGCGATCGATTGGCCAGTTTGCCCCGCAGTCATCGGTGCGTCACCCGAAGTGAGAATAGATGGTGTGCATTAATTTTTGTGTGCCTTGTGCGAGTGCTGCAACAACGCAACAGCAAGAAGACAAAAAGGTGCTTGCACTGGCTTTGCTTTGCTTTTGGTTGGTGTGAAGGCGCGTGCTGGCTTGCTCTGGCTTGGATGGTTGATGTGCTGCGGCGATCTCCGCGCTGTGCTTGTGGGGCTGTTGCTGTGTGTGTGTGGGTGATTGGTGCAAGATCCCGTGGCGGTTTGCACATGGTCAACAGGCAACCAACGATTGTATGGGTCGGTGTATTGCACATCGCACAATCATTTCACACAACGTGTGCGATCGTGGTTCCTTGCTTTGCTTGCTTGCTTGCTTGGTTTCTTGCTTCACTTGTTGCTGATTGTTGTTCACACATTCGCGCACATACACAAATCGCACGTGAATCCATCCATCCATCCATCCAATCCAATCCATCCATTTGTACCCACGCTGCACCCCAAACCACAGTTAACCGCAATCAAGGTGTGTATGTGTGTGTGTGTGTATGCTCAATGAGTCGGCTTTGTTTCCCTTGCTGCTTCCCACGATTGCCACACACACACACACACACACACACACACACACACACACACACACACACACACACACACACACACACACACACACACACATATATATATATACACACACACGCACACACGTCCATCCCCCTTAATGCCTCCTCGCTCCTTTTCCTGTTGAATGCAGATGTCGGCCACAACAACGAAGAAGGTCAACACCAAGGCCATGCGTATCCATGGCAAGTGGTACGATGTGGAGGGCTTCAACCACCCCGGCGGTCCCGTCATGATCTCTCTCGGCAAAGGGCGTGACGCCACAGGCCTCTTCGAGGTGGGTCCTTGTTGCTTCTTCATTATCTGCATCACCTGCACGACGTTGCTCGTGGCGTGGGTGGACGTGGTCGCGCTGATTCTTTTCGGTGCAAGTATGGTGTATCCAGCCGATCGCAGGACACACATTGCACTCACGCTGCATGTGACACACACACTGCACTCACACATACACAAACGTACACATACAAATACACACAAACACGCACCAAACAACACACCATGCATACGCACACTCACACGCACAACACACACCAACACACGCACACATACACAGTCCCACCATCCCTTCACGAGCCGCGCGCGGTTGGAGAAGCTGCTGGCCAAGTACGAAACACACGAGCCGTGCCGCCTGCTGGACGAGAGCGACCAGGGCACCGAGTTTGAGTGGCCCGAGTACGAGAACAAGGACGGCAAGGTGGCCGACGGTGCGCCCGTGTCTGCGTTTGGCAAGGAGCTGGTTGACCAGGTGAAGCACTACTTTGAGGGCGAGGCCAAGCGCCGCGGCGTGTCCCTGCTCGACGCCACAAAGGCCACCCCGATGCGCTGGCTCGAGCTCTTTGTGCTGTTTTCCCTGTTCCTGGCCACGCTGCCCGGCTTCTTCCGCGGCGAGTACTGGACCCTCATTGCCATGCCGCTCACCTACTGGGTCATTGGCGTCAACATCTTCCACGACGGCTCCCACTTTGCCCTCTCCCGCCACTGGCGCGTCAACGCGCTGGCCACGTACATTGGCTGGTACTTCAGCTCCCCGATTGAGTGGTACCACCAGCACGTCATTGGCCACCACGTGTACGCCAACATCCCGCGCAAGGACCCGGACCTGTACCACAACAACGCCATGGAGCGCCACACCCACACGCTGCGGTGGAAGCCCATGCACGCCCACCAGCCGTCCACGTGGCTGCCCATCTGGGTCATTGGCACCTTTGCCATGAACTACCTGAAGCCCCTGCAGATGGAGATGTCGGGCCACTACAACCGCGCCGTGGCCAAGATGGAGATGACGCGCTCCCGCTGGCTCCTGCACTGGGCCGGCCGCGTCTTCGTCTACGCCATGTGCCACCTCCTCCCGTTTGCCCTCTTCCCCTGGCCAAAGGCAATCCTGTTTGCCGTCGTCCCCGTGACCATCGTCTCGCTCTGCTTCATGCTCTCCTCCCAGATCAACCACCTCACCAGCCCCAACATTGACCAGTACTCTTCCGACTTTTACAAGCACCAGGTGCTGACGAGCCACACGGTTGGCAAGGACAGCTACCTCACCTTCCTCTTCACGGGCGGCCTCAACTTCCAGATTGAGCACCACCTCTTCCCCTGCGTCAACCACTGCCACCACCGCGCCCTGCAGCCCATCGTGCAGCGCCTGTGCAAGAAGCACAACGTGCCCTACCACTACACCCCGACCCTGTACCAGGCCTTCCGCAAGTACATTGACCACCTCAAGGAGCTTGCCGTCAAGCCATCCCAATAATGCGCCAACCTCTTGCTCTCCTCCCCCACCGCCCGTGTCATCGCGTTCATTATCCAGCTTAAGTCGGTGCGGCGGTGGGGGCCAATTGTCACGCGTTGATTGCTGCTTCTTCTGCCTGTTTTGTGTTATTGTTGTTTTGATTCTGAACCTTCTTTGCCCCCCTGTTTTCTTCGGTACATTTACAACACATCGCTTTCCAAGTGTGTGTGTGCTTGTGTGTGTGTGTGCTTGTGTGTGTGTGTGTGTGTGTGTGTGTGTGCTTGTGTGTGTGTGTGTGCTTGTGTGTGTGTGTGTGTGTCGGGTCAAACCCACGCGCTTGGCTCTCTGCTCGTGTGTTACAGCGTGCACGCCCTCTGCTTGGTGCAGCTGTGCCTTTTTCTCCCTTTCCCTTGTTCATCCTTTCAATTGATTAGTCGCCCCCTCTTACCTCCCTGTCTTTGACGTTGTGCCTGCCTTGTGCCCTACCCTGCGAGAAAGCAGGCATATTGCTTTCTCGTGCGTGCCTGCGCACCACCTTCCTCTCGTCCTTCTCCCGTGTTGCCATCAACACATCAACTGCCAATTTGCTCTGCTAGTCTGCTTCTTTCCCTCTCCTCTTCGCATCACTGCGTGCGGTGTCGTGTGCGTGGATTTGATTTGAGTTCTCGTGTTTTGTGTGTGTGTGTGTGTGTGTGTGTGTGTGTGTGTGTGTGTGTGTGTGTGTGTGTGTGTGTGTGTGTGTGTGTGTGTACTTGTCTGTGTGTGTACTTGTCTGTGTGCACGTGTCTGACTACTCTTGTCTCTTCCACAGAACAACAACAACCGTTCACCCAACGTCAAGTGAAGTCAAGCGTGTCCATCACCACCACCACCACCATCACCATCGTCGTCGTCGTCATCATGTCACGACACCTCACATGACGTGTGCGCACAAAGAAGCAGCAAGGCCCAAACAACGTTTTGGAGGATTGTGCAACACTCAACACACAGAAACAAGGCAGCAACGAGCAAAACACCACGAGGCACAAGATACACAGCAGCAAGGTGCAGGATACACTACAACCATCCAACGCGGGCCATCCAACGCACTCCACATACACACACAGACGAAACCAAGAAGATGGGCGAGGATGCGTCTGCGGCCAGTGGCACTGGTGGGCTGGAGCGCACACGACTGGCATACACGCTAGCGGGCGCGTTTGGTGGCTGTGTTGCTGGACCTGCAGTGGACATTGTGCTGTATCCAATTGACACAGTGAAGACTCGACTGCAGAGCGCACAGGGCTTCTTCAAGGCAGGTGGCTTCAAGGGCGTGTATCGAGGCCTCTCATCGGCGGCACTGGGATCGGCTCCAGCAGGTCCGTGTGTGTGTGTGTGTGTCTGCCTGCTTGCGTACCCTGTGTTTCTGCCTTTGTTCCTCTCCTGCCTGCCTATGTTCCTTCCTGCCTGCCTACATCCACCTGTCTGCCTGCCTATGTTCCTGCGTGTTGTTGGACATGCATGATCAGCAAACCCCCTCCCGCAAACACACCCTCACTCACTTACATCCGCAACTGACCTTTACATCTGCCGTGTGGGTGCAGCGGCATGCTTCTTTGCGAGCTACGAGGGCACCAAGGCCATCATGGCTGGGTTTGTGCCAGACGACTACGCCGTTGTTCGGGAAATGACGGCGGGGTCTGTCGCAGAGATGGTGAGTGAGTGATGAGACATGTGATACTGCATCGTGGTCGATCCACTTTGTACTGATCGCCGGTTGGCTTGAGTGCTGCTTGCATGTGCAATCGCGCCTGTACTGAACGCCTCGCCTGACCATCCCATCACCACCCCCGCCGCCACCGCCGCCGCCGCCGCCACGCTGACTCTCGTCACTCACCACCACTGTATCTGCTTTGCAGACAACCGCTGTGGTGCGGATGCCGTTCGAGGTGGTGAAACAACAGTTGCAGGCGCACGTGCACCCGACCACGTCCGCCTGCGTCTCACATATCCTCAAAACCAAGGGGCTCCCGGGCTTCTGGGAAGGCTACGTATCCCTCGTCATGCGTGAGGTCAGTGATGTGTGGGGGGAGAGGGGCATTGTGGACATGCTAATGCATGTGCCAGTGTATGTGCGTGTGCCAGTGTATGTGCGTGTGCCAGTGTACGTGCGTGCGCTTGTTCCACACGCTCACGCACTGACGTATACACACATACACACACGCTCGCTCGCCCGTCACCTTGCAGATCCCGTTCTCCTTCATTCAGTTCCCGCTGTACGAATCCCTCAAGGTACACCTGCGCCTCTGCGACTTGGATTGTGGAACTGTCTTGTTGTGAACGTTCGCTGTTCCGTCCAACAACAAGTACAAGCTTGTGTGTGCGTGTGTGTGCGTGTGTGTGTGTGTGCGTGCCTTAGCAAACTGATGGCCTTACCCTTGTCCATCGATCACCTGACTCCGCGTCTTGTCTCCCTGCATTCACAGCGCGGCGTTGCACGCCTGGAGAAGGTGGAGGTGAAGGACCTGCCTGCGTGGCAGGGGTCCGTGTGCGGCTCCATCGCTGGCGGCATATCCGCTGCTGTCACAACGCCGCTAGATGTCGTCAAGACGCGCATCATTCTCCAGCAGGTTGGCGTGTCTGTGTCTGTGTGTATCTGTCTGTTTGTCTGTCTGTCTGTCTGTGTGCCTGTGTGTCTGTGCGTCTGTGCGTCTGGTTTGAAGTAGCGTTTGTCCGAACACAAGATGGCTTCTGCCCCTTTACACCAACACGCACATACACATACACATACACACATGAACTCACCCTGCCGTCTCCCGCCATTTGTGCCACCGGACAGAACACGGACAACGTTCCGCGCGCGCTGGTGCACATCTACCAGCGCGAGGGCATCAAGGCCCTCTTCGCTGGTGTTCTGCCCCGCACGGCGTTCATTGCGCTCGGAGGCGCTATCTTCTTTGGCGCGTTTGAGAAGGCCAGGAAAGTGTATTGGACCCTGCACGACAAGTTTGCATAGGCGGTGGTGCGGGCGGGGGTCGTGATTGCGGTGTTTTTCGGGCGGTGAGTGGAACAGCTTTCCACCAACACTGTGTATGTGTGCATTTGTGTCTGTGCGCGCGCGCGCGCGCGCGCGCGCGCGTGTGTGTGTGTGTGTGTGTGTGTGTGTGTGTGTGTGTGTGTGTGTGTGTGTGTGTGTGTGTGTGTGTGTGTGTGTGTGTGTGTGTGTGTGTGTGTGTGTTGGTTGCGCTTGGGTGCGGTAGTACAGTGGCTTTGGCATACGTGTTATTTGCGTGATTGTTGCAAGAGCTCTTGAGCTTTTAGGATGACGTAGTCAACCATCATGTGTTGTGGAATGATCATCAGTGAAGGTTGTTGCCGCTGTTCCAAATTTGCTGTTGCTGCTGCTGCTGTTGTTGTTGTTGTTGTTGTTGTTGTTGTTGTTGTTGTTGTTGTTGTTGTTGTTGTTGTTGTTGTTGTTGTTGTTGTTGTTGTTGTTGTTGTTGTTGTTGTTGTTGTTGTTGTTGTTGTTGTGGTGCGGGGAGCTCACTTGTTTGTTACCCTGATGTCAAGGCGTTGGTGCCGTTGTATTGGCGTGGTTGTACTGTGCCAAGGTTGCTAGGTTGCAGTTGTAAACAGTGAAGCAAGCAAGACAAAAGAAAAGCAAGAGAGCACTCTGAGGAACAGGTGTGCACAACACTGCCACACTGAACCGACACGCGCTGGCAGATACATAGGAGTCATGTCGGGCACAGCACCCATGCGGTGCTTCGTCACGTCACGTGGTCGGGCAACGCATGGTGTTGCGTGTGTGTGTGTGTGTGTGTGTGTGTGTGTGTGTGTGTGTGTGTGTGTGTGTGTGTGTGTGTGTGTGTGTGTGTGTGTGTGTGTCGCTTCACTTCAGCTCCAACGTGTCCAGCGTTGAAAGCACGGCGTCCCAATCACGAACGCGAACAACGCCCTCAGGGAGAGCAGTGTCGTCGGCCGCATTCCACGAATACTCGCCAAACAGCAGCACCTGTTTTGTGTGTGTGTGTGTGTGTGTGTGTGTGTGTGTGTGTGTGTGTGTGTGTGTGTGTGTGTGTGTGTGTGTGTGTGTGTGTGTGTGTGTGTGTGTGTATGTGTGTGTGTGTGTGTGTGTGACGATGCGGGCAACAGTGTGGGGGAAAGGAAACAACGAGCGATATGACAGACACAGACGCAGACACAGACACAGACACACGCAGAGACGCAGACACAGACACAGACACACACGCACACAGACGCGCACAGACACACACAGACACACACACAGACACACACACAGACACACACACAGACACGCACACACACAAGAGCAACCTTTTGGAGGTGGCCGGCGCATTCTCTGGCGTAGTGGAGTGCGTCGTCTATCAATACTGCAGCGCCAATGGCGGTGCACATCTCGGGCTTGGACCTGTTGCAACAAGTGGACGGGTGGAGGGGATGTGAATACAGAGGGGATATGGCTACACGCGGAGTGGTGGTGCGCAAGAGACGACCAGGGCACACGCATGCAGACGTAGATGTGCAAACAGACAAACAGACAGGAGTAGATTTACAGACAGACACGTACAGACAGGCACACACATACATACACACACACAGACGCACAGACGCACAGACGCACACACGCACACACACACACACATACACACACATACACATACATACACATACGAGTGACCGTACTTCTTCTCGCCGTGAAGGCCCCAATGATTGCCAAAGAGAATGCTCTTGAAGGTGTTTGGAAAGTGCGTCTCCACCCACTCGTGGGTCTCTGGTGCGATGATATGCTGCCTAGATGTCACAATGACAAGGTCGTACTTCTCGGCCAGCTTGGCAAGCGCCTCCTGTGCACCAGGGACCAGCCGCAACTGACGGTGGACGCATGCGTGATGAGAAGTGAGAAGTGAACGGTAGAGGTGAGGGGGGAAACGAACAGGAGTGGCGCAGTCGCACAGTTCACAACATACGAACCAAGCACGCGCACTTATAGAGCACAGCAAACATCACACAACGCGCGCGCACACACACGTACACACATACGCACACACATACACATACACACATACACACATACACACACATACACACACATACACACATGCACACAGACACACATACGCATACATACATACACACATGCACACACACGACGCGCACACAACTACGTAGGTCAACGCACGCCGTTCTTGAAGTGCTTGGACTCCAGAAAGTCGTGGACCTTCTTGGACGACTCTTCCTTGGTGCCTCCCCAGACATCCTGGAACGTGTAGCTGTGAAAGTCGCTTGCCTTGTACGTGGTGCCATACTTGTCATTATGAAACCTGCACGCAACACAACGGGCGCGATGCACAATAAGTGTGGGTGCTGGTGCTTGGAGGGGCAGCATCATGGCCATTGCCACAGGCCAGCACGGCAGCAGTGCAACCACGTTGAGATGCCTGCAGCAAATATGAAGAAGGTGACTTACTCGCAGAGCGCATCGACAAAGTAGCCTAGCACCTCGTCCAAGTCCACGGCAATGACGGGCCGCTTGCCCTGCGCAACAGTCAACCGTGACAATGAAATGAGCAGGAGCCAACCTGCAGCTCATCCAAATCACGGCACACGGCGAGCAAACACATGCACACAACGTGCAAACACATGCACACGGCGTGCAAACGTATGCACACGGCTCGCACACACACACACACACACACTGACACACACTCACTCACTCACTCACTCACACACTCACACACTCACACACTCACTCACACACACTCACTCACACACTCACACACTCACTCACACACTCACACTCACTCACTCACTCACTCACTCACTCACTCACTCACACACACACACACACACACACACTCACACACACTGACTCACACACACACACACACACTCACACACACTGACTCACACACACACACACACACTGGCACACACACTCACTCACTCACTCACTCACTCACTGACTGACTGCATGCGACCCACGTGCTCAAAGGTCTCTGCAAGGTGTTCCATGACAGTCCTTCGTTGTTGTTGTTTAAGTGCACACACAGCCAAAACAAAAAACATAAGACGGCTTTCTTTCTCCCTCCGCTTCCCACAGGACAACAGCACCGTCGTTCCAGTCCTCTCAGCTCTCGTCGCATCACAACATATGTTTCCCTGCTCCTCCCTGCGACACTCATACACACACACACACATACCTTCTGCCTCGCTGCAAACAACCCAGCGATGAAAGCACCATGAAAGGCAACGAAACAACTAAAATGAAGCAAGCAGGCCGCAAGGCAATGACATGCCACCACAACCACCCACCACCGCTATCAGCGCCATCACCAGGACTGCAAGAATGCTCAGCAGTCGTGTGTGTATGTGGCGCCGTAGTGAACACGGTACGCGTCCTCCTCCTCCCTGGCACGGAACGAGTACGAAGGTGCAACACGGCGGTGCACAACCTGTGGCTTGTGCGCGCCCAACACCACTGTGCGCTGTGACCCCATGCTGTCGTCTGCCGTGGGCGCTGCAACGCCGCCTCGCTGCTGCGCCTGTGACACGTGTTGAGCCTGCTGTAGATTGCAAACGTGGCGCAATGATTCCCCGTGTAAGTACACGCGTTGCTCGACAGAACCACCCACACGCACATACACAACCGCACATACACACACGCGCGCGCGCACACACGCACACTGTGTGGACAAACCATTTGCTGGGCATGCTGCAACCAGCCGCCGTAAGCGCGCTGGTACTCGGACTGGATCTTCTCTGCTGTTGCGCGCTGGCGCATGTCAATACGGCGCTGTGTAAACGGGCACATACGATGCACCTGTGAGAGGAAGTTGAGGGCATCGCAGGCGACAGAACAACACGAGCACAAGAACACCAACACAACTGGACACAGCACGACAACCAACACACAACGAAGACGCACCATCACAACACAACACAACACAAGACAACACAACACAATAACGCGACATTGTGACGCACCAAAGCCTCTACCAGCCTCTGCTGCTCTGTCGACAATGCAGGCTCCTGTGGCTCCTGGTGCTGTTGGCGAGCAGAGCCGCCACGTGTCGGTGTGGACTGCACCCGTGCAGGAGCATGGTGTTGGCGTTGCTGTGGTTGCCTCACTCGCTGCTCGTGACCATGGTGTCCGCTTGCTGTGCGAATGTTTCCACCGCGCGTCTGTGTGCTCTCATCCTCGCAGTGCAGGAAGGAGCTGTCTGTCTGAACTACCTCGTCGCGACACGCGTCGGACTCAAAGGTCACGGTCAGCGCATGTTGCTCAAGGGGCTCGGTGACATCATCGCCACCGGCCACGTGCATCGGCTGCTGTTGGTGTTGGTGCTGTTGGTGTTGCTCGTCCTCCACAGGCGGCGAGTACTGGACTGCTCTGTGCTGCGATCTGCGTGCTCCCGTTGCATGCGCCCTCGCCTGGCCGACACCCATGTTTCTCTTCTGCGAAGCCGCTGATGCTGATGTTACTTGTGCTGCCGATGGCTGTGCGTTTCGTGAAGATTGTGACACGCGGGGCCCACCCCTTACAGCCACCTGCTGCCCGCTTGCTTCCCCGTGTCGCCCAGACTCGCGCTCGTACGCGTCGTAGTCAAACGGGTGCGTGTGCAGCGGCTTTGCCCACTCCTTCTGTGCGTGGCGCGGCAGTCGCTCCATGTATCCCCGGTCCAACGCAGCGTGCAGTGCATGCACATCAACCTATTTTGCATGAGTGAGTGAGTGGGTGTGAGTGTGTGTGTGTGTGTGTGTGTGTGTGTGTGTGTGTGAGTGAAAGAGCGTGTGTGTGTGTGTGTGATTGGTTGTTAAAGTGTTGGAGGATCAGCAAAGGAATGAAAACAACATGCACGCACACCCCCACGTACGCACGCACAAACGCACACACACACACACACACATACCACGTACGCACGCACACATGCACACATGGCGCATGGTGTCCGCAGTTCAGACAGACAGAGAGACCGAGAGAGGGGGGGGGTCATGGCACACCTCTTTCGAAGCGCGAACGTTGAACGTTTTCTTGTTCTTCCACGCTCCAATCTGGTCGTTGTTCCAGCCGTAGTGAGCAAACGGCGGCCGCTTCTTCTTGGGCTTTTCTGTTCGCACGCGCACGTTCTCCTGTTTACGGACATGAACAAGCGTGTGTGCGTGCGTGTGTGTGCGTGCGTGTGTGTGTGTGTGTGTGTGTGTGTGTGTGTGTGTGTGTGTGTGTGTGTG